AGAGCAATGGTTGCATGGTGGTAACAAAGCGTGAACTTGGTCCTCCCCCCCCCCCCCCCCCCACCACACAGACCACACACCATGAACAGAACGCAAGAGGGCACAAATGCCGTCATTTATTCAGCGCTCTTCTGCAGCCTTGTCCTTTACGCAACCCCTACAGAGTTGTTGCAATGTGTGTAGCAGTCACAGCGAAGCAGTGAAATGACTTAACCAAGGAACGTCAGACGAACACGGTTTCAAAATCGAGCATATTTAGTCTTCATGAGAAACAAGTGCTGGACAGAATATTATTACCATGACAAGATGTTGTTCGCCGCACAAAAGTCCTTGTAGTTGCATCAAAATGAACGTTTTGTTCGCGCCTATGCATGCGTATTCGCTTTCCGTCACATTGCAATGTGCCTTGCTAGGATAATCTGCAACGTTGTGAGCTGAACAAACTCTTGACTTTCCATTTGATAACGGGTGGAATACATAAAATGGCCCTATTGCGAAAAGCTGCGCAGCGCTAGTGGAAACCCAGATCCCGATCTAGATGATACGCAGCTGCCGCCGACACAAGACCGATGCATGTTTGCTGTTGAACGAACGGCAATCATGCCAGCGAAACCATCGGTCGATGCGTGGAGCCAGCGGCCCACTCTCGAACGCAGACCAGGGAGCCGCCCTCGTTGGGGACGTGTACACAGATCCGCATCTGATCCTGGCAACTGGTGCAGATCGAAACGCGAAGAGAACTGCGCGGTGTAGACGGACGTACCGTCCACATTGACCGCTCTCACTTCGCACCCCGTACCCCGTTATCATACCGTCACTTCGCACCCCGTACCCCGTTATTCATACCGTCACTTCGCACCCCGTACCCCGTTATCATACCGTCACTTCGCCACCCCGTACCCCGTTATCATACCGTCACTTCGCACCCCGTACTCCGTTATCATACCGTCACTTCGCACCCCGTACCCCGTTATCATACCGTCACTTCGCACCCCGTACCCCGTTATCATACCGTCACGTCGTCCGTTATCACATTGTTCGCCCGGCCCGCTCAAGGCGTCCTACTGATGCGCATTCAGCTTCCGCTACCGCAAGTGGACGGGTTCTTTATAGCGTCTGATAGCCTCAAATCATTTCAAATATCTCCGTTTCCCAGCGATTCGTATTCTTCCCGGGCCATCTCCAGGGATTAACCGGCTTTTGTAGGCCTCGGGCAGCCGGTGCCGGTCCGCCAGCGGCGGATTTGTCCCGCGGCCGGGCGATGTCAGCGCGCGCCGGGGCCTGGTGTCCACCCGGGGAGGAGCCTGGCCGACGCCAGGCCCTGATGTGCCACCCTGATGCCGTTCCACAGCCGTCGCGTCCCTATTTTAGCGGCTCGTGAGACACGCGCCTCGGCCGCATCTAAAGCGCCGCGCCGCGCCGTGGCGGACCGCCGGCCGATAACCGACCGAGCGATGTGCGCGAGGGACCCTGGTCCGCCAGGGACGCGACCGGTCCTCTGGCCGCGGCGGTCCCCGCCGATAACCGACCGAGCGATGTGCGCGAGGGACTCTGGTCCGCCGGGGACGCAACCGCTCCTCGGTCGCGGCGGTCGCGCCGCCGGCCGATAACCGACCGAGCGATGTGCGCGAGGAACCCTGGTCCACCGGGGACGCGACCCGCTACTCGGCCGCGGCGGTCTCGACCGATATCCGACCGAGCGATGTGCGCGAGGGACCCTGGTCCACCGGGGACGCGACCGCTACTCGGCCGCGGCGGTCCCGGCCGATAACCGACCGAGCGATGTGCGCGAGGGACCCTGGTCCACCGGGGGACGCGACTGCTCCTCGGCCGCGACGGTCGCTCCGCCGGCCGATAACCGACCGAGCGATGTGCGCGAGGGACCCTGGTCCGCCTGGGACGCGACCGCTCCTCGGCCGCGGCGGTCCCGGCCGATAACCGACCGAGCGATGTGGCGCGAGGGACCCTGGTCCGCCAGGGACGCGACCGCTCCTCGGCCGCGGCGGTCCCGGCTGATAACCGACCGAGCGATGTGCGCGAGGGACCCTGGTCCGCCAGGGACGCCACCGCCCCTCGGCCGCGGCGGTCCTGGCCGATAACCGACCGAGCGATGTGCGCGAGGGACCCTGGTCCGCCAGGGACGCGACCGTTCCTCGGCCGCGGCGGTCGCGCCGCCGGCGGACGGCTGTCGTTCGAGGAGGAGGCAGAGGAGTGGGCGAGCATGCGCTGACGAGATCTGGAACGGGGCTGTCTGGCGCTGGCGTGATTGATGAGGATAGTTGTGCCGAGGCGTGGTGATCCTGACGATTTTGGGCGACAACGTGACGTAATAGAATGGCTGGCGAAAGAAAGGATAGACACAGGGATGTAGGCATGTAAATGAAAAGCTTCACATTTATAAGGTTTTTGATGAACGTGATTTATGGACGTTGGACCTTTAGTAGAGTGCAAGGGATGTAAGCTGTTCAGTCCAGCTGCGAGAAACATCTTATCTCCATAAGTATAATTTTCTTGGCTTTACTCCCCGCTATCAGTCAAAAAGAACGGTTGACTATTTAAACCCGGCCACGAGCGTTTGTCGGAAAAGCGATGTCAATACATAAACGAGCAATGAGTTATATGGAGTAGCACCAGTGCTACTAGTGGAGCAAATTGTTGCTTGCACTTTTTGCATGCTGACAAAATACTGAGTTTATTTGTTGTTCCAGGGAGGCAGCTGGTTCTGGCCGTCAGCTTCGAGAACGGTCTCATCAACCTGATGACCAGTTACGACGACATCACGCCAATCGTTATTCGAACAGGTAAGAGATCCATACGGTTCTTCCTCTGTGTCGTTCCGGCGACTCGGCCGAAAGAGCGTCGGATAACATGGCCAATACATAGCTTGCGTCGTGGATGTTGTGCCTGTGTGGCTTGTATTTGGCGGTCAGTTGGCCACCCGTTAAGAAAGCCATAATGATTTGGAGGTGGCAGTGTCATGCCATTGCGTGGCATGCTCTGGTTATGGTGCATATAGGGTCCGTTCGATATGCTGCCACCTTTGCGCCTTTTTCGGTCGTAAGCCTGTGGACTAACACGCGGTCATATTGAGGCTATCACTATGTGAACCTGGCTTTCAAGTGGAAACTGTGGTGCAAGACGCAGTACCATAATCTTCAATTGTCATTCAGCATGAAAACGTTGCAATCACTTTGAAAGTTTTGACAATGCAATGACAGAAAGATACTGCTGACATGATAGAAAGCAAGTACCAATAATGGTGCTTATCAAGTTTTACCATAGACTTCTTATCATGCAGTTTAAGGCTAAAGCTAGCAGAACTTTGATGGCATAAAGATAACAACCAGATAAAAAATAAAGATACCATATGAATTGTGAAAGCATGCCGCAACCCTCTTCATGTTGAACTCAAAAGTATTTTTTGACAGACCCAATCCATTTAAAGCTTACACAGAACTATTGATATTTAAGATGGCAAAAACATTACACAAGAAACAGCAAACAGCTGTTTCTTGTGTAATGTTTTTTTTCAATGGATGTGCTACGTGTTGAAATGTGAATACAAGCCAAATGCATTATGTTTTATTCACCGAAAGGAAAATTACGTTTAAAAATCAAGACGCGTGAATCCAGAGCATATTTTGAATATGTGCAGGCGCTGTCACTAAAAATATGTCGAAATGAGAAATCATCTCGGCTGCCACATTCTAACACCCGATGCACGGAAGTACACTTTGGACTGCCCGAACACAGGCGGCGAGGAAGAAGGGTATGACTCACCCATGCCCAGTAAAATGTTAGAAGGTTATTCGCCATGAACATCAAACATCACAAACATAGTGCAAATAATGCGAACATCCCGTCTATTCAACCTCTAACGCCGTAACACCCAGTGCACGATACTGTGCTGAGCTGCCTGAAGCAGAGGCGGCGAAGCGGGAAGTGTTGCTGTTACTGTTGCTGCCCGAAGCGACGATCCGCTCCTCGCGGAACGATGAGAGACAACTTGCCGGCGGGCATCAGTGTTCACTGCAACGACTACAGAGTTAACTCCCAACATGCATAACCAAAGTAACGTTGCTCAAGCCAAGTCTCGAGACGACGTTTGTGAGATTATCTCCGGGCAAAGAAGATTACACCGTAATCTTGATAAAGGTCACATCCATAAC